CCCCGGCGCGGCAGCGGCCTGTGGGACGGGCCGGGGATGGCCGTGACAACCTGGTGCGGGTGTGAGGGATGTAACCAGGCTGGGGGACGGCCGCGATGTCCCACCGTGGGCCCGGGGGACATAGACGGGCCAGGGGACGGGGGTGGCAGCTCCTCTCCCACACAACTGCCCCAAACCCCGTAGGCGAGGGTTGTGCTGAGGTTGTCCCCGTCCCTCCCGCCAGAGCTCTTGCTTCCCGCTGAATAAAACCAGACCAATAACCACCGAACTCCTTAGTTTTGATGAGAACACCTTTAGAAAACTACACTTTACACACAAGATCTGGGGACCTAAAGCATCCCGGTGTGCGCTGAGGGGAGTCCTGATCCCCCCAAGTTGGGTTTCCTTGTGGGAATGTACCCCGTAACGCCGCCATTTCCATCTCTCCCCGTTAATCCCTTTTTAAACCTGCCTCTAGTTAACCAGATGCTTCTCCCGCTAACAGATGCCCACCAAAGGCAGCAAGGAACAAGCAATAAATAACTTCAGATAACTTATCTACCGTCACATTGGGGATCTCCACCCTACGGGTGAGGGAAGATCAAGGCGTACCTGTGCCCTAAAAAAGGTAAGAAAATAGTTGCATATCAGCTCATCCCATCCACAGGATGTTCTGCGGTATCGCGTGGCAGATGCACACTTTGCAGATCAAAGCACCGGGCGTATTTACATTTCGGTAAGGCCCTGACCAAAGAGCCGGGCCGGTTGATACTCCTCTTTCTTTGCTCCGTAGGAAGGCTGATCCCAATGTATGGGATAATCACTTCCATGTGTGGTTTTTAAGCCCTCGGGTTTGTGGCTCAATTGAAGAGAGGGTTTAGCTTCCTCCTAAGATCCCCCGCAGAGAGGGAAGGCTCAAAGTGAGGGGATTTGGTTAAATCCACCAGTGGATCCCCAGTCCGGATGATCCCAGCCCTCTGGTCTCCCTTCAGGCCCCTGGATGGTGCCTTTCACGCGGGTTTAGCCAAACTCTACAGCAAAAAGCCAGGAAGATCAGGGCCAGCTTTCCCCGTCAGGGCCAACCCAGCAACAAAACCTGCCCTGAAGGACAAGGACCTGCAACGCCGAAGCACATGAGCAGGAGCGGTGCAGATAATGACCCCCCACGAGGGGGAAAACCTCTAATGGAAGTTTTTTTGGTGGATGAGGCGGGAAGGAGTTGCTTAATCGTCAGGGATGCCATGGCTTTTACGAGTCAGGTGGGGGGTTTGGGCATCAGTTTGCATCGCAAACAGTTTCTCGTGCAGATGGTGAGTGGGTAAGCCCCATGCCTGAGCGGGGAGGCAGGCGAGCTGCTGCTCCCTATCCTTTCCATATTGGGCTTGGATGGCTGTTTATTCCATTTGGCAGCAGGAAATAAAAGGTTAGAGGGAAGGAAAGCCTGGGACAGACATCTCTGCCAGCCTTGAAGGACAGCCATGAGGTGACATCCCTCCAGCGAGCAGCTTTGGTGGCTCTCAAGAAATGCCACAAGGGTTTTTCTTCTTGTATTACAAACCCCGGGGCCATTTTCTTACAATCTCCCGCCCAGAGTTCCCTTCCCTAGAAGCGTGGTTCGTTACTGAGGGTGGAGCCCTGCCTGATACTGTGCATTTGTGTGTGTGTTTGCTCTGGCCCCACGATTTCGCAGCACTGATAGCAGCTTTTGTTTGTTATCTCCTCTGGTTTTCTGCCTCCCTTGTTTTTTCCATATCATGCCTCAATTACAGTGATTAAATAAACTGTATTCGAAAAGCATTCCCAGTCAGATTTCCATGGTGTTTCCAGCCTTTGCTGCTGCTGATTTAACTTCACAGACCCCTTGCCCATGCACTCCCGGGGTATCCCGTGCCCTGAGGGCAGGACGGGAAAACTACAGACCCACGAAATGAGACTGTGGCGTTCGCCATCCTCCCTTCACCTCCCTTTGCCGATCGGCATGGCTGCATTTGGATGCAGACACGGCTTTGAGGGGACACTTGCAAGGGAAAGACCGAAGAGGAACCATCTCTGAGCTTGCAGGATGCGAGTTGGCAAAACCAAGCACTAACTAAATCCCGCGACTTTTAAAACCATGGCCGAGACCTCAGCTGGCCTCATCCCTGAAGGCGCATCGGCCCAACGTGGAGACAGCTTCGTGCCCGGCCGACAAGCAGAAGCGAGATGATGGAGGAACACAGCGCTGCGGGGAAATTCATGTTTCTTGTAAAGAGGAAGGATGGAAACCTTCTACTTGAGCGAGGGGCCACTCGGCGAGAGCTGCTCTGTGATGAATAGCGCAGATAGAGGAGGGGGTGGACCTCCACCATCTATATAAAGCGAACCCGTGACGCCGGCAGTCTCGGAGCTGCGAAGTCCAGGCGGGGTAAGGAGAGAGGGGATTTTATTGCCCTCTTATTTCATTAGGCAGCTTGGGGGGCAGCGGTGGGAGGCTGCAGACAGTGAGCTTCTCCATCAGCCCCGGGCAGGACAACCACTGTGTCCCTGTACACATCCCTGCCAAGCGCCGCATCCCAACACCGGAGTCGGAAGGCCCCACTGGGAGTCAGCAGCGCTCTCTCGGGCACGGGATACCTTCACAATGCCGTATATCCACGGTGACGCTAATGTCACCGTGCGGTGCTGCCAGGGTGCACCCCACCGGCTCCGTGCCCTTGGCATGGGCGTGGGGGGGGGCAGCATCTTGTCCTAGCCCCGGGATGCTGCTCATCGCCCACCATTGCGGTTTCCTCCTCCAGGGCCAGCCTGAGGATGAAGAATCTCCTCTTTGCCATGCTCTTGGCTTGCGGTAAGTGCCCCAGTTTCACCAGGCCAGGCTGGAATCGTGTCTGCACGGCAAAAAAAGACATACAAACCCAGAGTCTTTGTGCACGATTCAGGTTTTTCTTTAAATTTTGCAGTTTAATGCTTCGTGTAGCACTGCTGCGGTCCCGGAGGTCTTTGTGACGGTGAGGCTTTGGGATACTCAGGTCCACAGTTATTTTAAGAGGTCCTGGAGCCTTTTGTCACCTGCTTTGCTGCCTGTGCCGAGCCCAGGGCTGATCCTGGCAATGTGGTGTTGCTGGTTGCAGGATGCAAGCGTGGCATAGCCCGTACAGAGCAATAATATCTTCTGCCAGACTGAATCAGGTAGCTGCAGAAACCAGACAGAATCCTGAGGGGGGTTTTTGGGAGGGCTTCTTATGGTTTGCATGCCTGAAAGCATGTATTTCCAGCAATGCCAGACTTATTTAATTTCTCTGCCCAGTGCGAGCCTGTCCCTCTGCCCCTCTGCAGGGCTGCTGCCAGCTCACGCCAGCGTTTTGGAGCTGGAGCGGATGATCAAGTCGACGACGGGGAAAAGCGCCCTGCTCTCCTACAGCTGGTACGGGTGTTTCTGTGGCATCGGCGGCAGAGGTACCCCGGTGGACTCCACTGACCAGTGAGTACCTGGAAAAACATCCCCACTCACCACCCTGCTGCAGGGTGTGCGGGGTCCCTAAAAAGCTCCTCACTGGCAGCCGGCCGGTGCTGGCGTGCTCGGAGAGGGGGTTTTGTGCCGTTCTCCAGCCACGTCCTGCTGCTGCCTCTCATCCCCTCCTCCTGGTCACCCGAAATTGGAGGCTGGACCTTCCCTTTACCTTCCAAATGCAGGAGGGGAGCAGGGGCAGCGGTTTGAGATGTGTCCCCCCCCGGCAGGTGCTGCCATGCCCACGACTGCTGCTACAGGAAGCTGCGAGAGGGCAAGTGCAGACCCCTGATAACCCCGTACCGCTTCGATGTCACCGACGGAGACATCGCCTGCAGTGAGTACCGCCGAGCAGAGGGGGGGTCCCACAGAGGTGGGGAACCAGCAACTGCTCCTTGTGACACCCCAGCCCCGCAGGAGGGTACACAGGAGGGCATTTCCCCCGCTGGGGATGAAACCAGCCTGATGCCTGGTCGGGTTTGTACAAGAGGACGCAGCGTACAATAAATGGGCGCCACAAGGGATACGGGCGGGTTGGAGAGGATGAGCACCGCAGCATGCTTCTCCATGTGCTTTGCCCGGGCAGCTCCAGGCATTGGGGGTGCTCAGAGGGGACCTCATCACCAGTGCCAGCTGGAAAAGCCACCACAGAGCCACCGTGGGGGTTTTTTTTCCCCACAGGTGACGAGCAGAGCTGGTGCAAGAGAGAGACCTGCCTATGCGACAAGGCGGTGGCTTCGTGCTTCGCAAGCGCTTTGCATTCCTACAATAAATCCTACCGCTTCTATTTCAAGCTGAAATGCCGAGGAAGTAAGCTCCAGTGCTGAGGAGGGGAAATCTGCACGCGAGGTCACAGATTTTGAGTGGCTTTCCCAATGGCTGTGGCAGGAAAAGCCTGATGTGGGGGCTGAGCATAGCCGGAGCCAGCAAGGCTCCCTGCAAGGTGATGCGCAGGGTGAGGGAGGGCACGCACACATTACGGGTGGAGATCTCCCGGCAGAAAGACCCATCAGCTTCCATTTTTTTGTCCCTTCCTCCTCTCTTTTCTCTTTTGATTTCATTTCCCACCAAAGATGATGAAATAAAAGTTATTCGAAATCATTCTCCGTGGTGTTTTTCTGTAAGAGTCACTGAGCTTGAGGCACTGCATCTGGGTTGCCAAGTTTGGGGAGTACTTTTGCATCACATTTTCACGGTCCCGACTGCAGCCCGAAAAAGCCGAAGGTCCGACGGGCAGCTGTAATTTGCAGCCAGTTATTTATTTACTACTTCCCTGGCCAGGTCTATTCCGCTGCGGAGCAATAGTGCTGCTGCCGGATCCCCAGCTACAGAGGAGAAATGGGGACAAATAAATGCCACCAAGTAAAACTCTTTGGGGTTTGTCAACAAAATAATTCCCCAGCGGCGAGCCCAGATGGCAGCTGGCTTTTTTGGTTTCTCCCAACACCCCTTCCCACCAGCTGAACTCGCTCACAGAGCTAAAACAGAATGGTGCATTAAGGGGCAGGTGAGATATGGCCAAAAGGTGTTTTTAGAGGAATAATGGAAGTGGGAAAATGTGGGAGACGGTTTGAGACCCTCCTAAAGAAGAGTTCTCTGCAGAGGAGGGAAGATTCCAAAGCTCCGTCCATCCCGAGGCGGATGCTAATTCAGGAAGGCAGTTAAGGTGGTGACTAAATGGTTTCTCTGCGTGGGGGTTGCAGGTAGGAGGTGGAAACATCCTACAGAGAGAAGTAAAGAGAAGTTGCATTCACTCATCCTAAAATACCCATTTTGTTTCATTCTCCTCTCACGGTAGGTGAGTGTTTAATCATCCAGTATCTGCATAACCCCGTGTTTCTGGGGACTGCACGTTTAGAGATGCTTTTCTTGTTGTCCATACACTTTTCCCACAGAACCGATAGATAACTCGCTCTGAATCATCTTTGCGGCGTGGCAGAGGAACAGTTCTCAAACCATACGACTCCTCGAAAACCCCAAACTTGTTTCATTTGCGGTTGCCGGGACGCAAAAGCTGAACCAGGGTTATTACTTCCTCCCCGTCCCGATATGTCACTGTGGTGCTGGGGAGGGCAGAGAAGGCAGCCCTCAGACATCTCCAGCCGGGGGTGGAGGGAATTGGCTTCCTCCTCAGGCTGGAAATGATGCTGCTTTGCTGACACATCCCATCCGGCACCGGCCCTCGTGCATGGGGTACGGAGCCGGGGTGTTGGGGAAATTTCTTGCATTTCTGTAAAGGGGAAGGATGGCACCTTCTCCTTCACAGAAAAACCCAGCTGGCAAGATGTGGGTGAAACGAGTGTCCGACGGTGGGAGCAAACCCTATATAAAGGAAGCCCTGAGGGGTGCAGGGCTCTACAAGCAAGCGGCGGCTTTCCTGAGGTAAGCGGGGATGGAGGAACGCTTTTCCTCTCTTTCCTCCTTTAACCAAAAGCTGCGGTGCGAGGCAGGGAGCGAGGTCCATGCCGGGAAAACAGGAGCAAAGGAGAAGCTACCTGAGATGCCAGCTCAGAGGCAGAGTGGCGGGGTGCAGCCCTCAAGGGCTGATCGTTCCTCCAACTTTTCTTCCTTTCCCTTCATTTTGCTTTTTCCCACTCCTCTGCCATCCAGTTCCCATCGCTTCCCACCCCCAACGCAGCAGCGCTTTGTGCTGAAGTGATGGTGACGGGCACATTCTCACCTCCCTCATCTCCCCTAGTCCTCGGAGGTGAGGACCATCTCTGTCCTCAGATGATGGGGGAAGTAAAAAAGAAAGTGTTTGATATAATGGGGAAATGGTTTGATTTCCTCTCACAGGGCGGTCGAAAAGATGAACTTTCTCCTCGCCTTCGCCGTGCTGTTTGCTTTGGGTAAGTGTCCGCGCTCGCACGAGTCCCACGGCTCCCTGTGCAGTTCTATCCATGGAAATCAGGACCAGGTTGGTGATTTCTTAAACTTTCCTCATCACCACCTCTCCCAAACACGCAACAACTCTCCTGCACCGAGCTGGGAATAAGTTTCCTCTCTGTTGCATCTACTTACTCATTTTTAAGACATCACCAGCCTGTGATGTACCAGTTTGGGGGCTGGAGGGATAGGGATGCTGCTGGAGAGCCAGGCGTCAGCATGAGTCGCACCGATTTCCCCCCCCCCAGGCTTGTCCCCGGCTCGCGGGAGCCTCTGGGATCTGCACGAGCTGATTACGAAGGTGACGGGGAAAAACGCCTTGCTGTATTACTCCTTCTACGGCTGCTACTGTGGCTTGGGGGGCAAAGGGCAGCCCAAGGACGCCACGGACAAGTGAGCACCCACTTAACAATCTCCCTGCCTGAACACATCCTTGCATGGTTTCAAATTTGGAGGGTAGGGGGCAAAAAAACCCCAATTCCCAAAGCCTCGACCTCCCGTACAGATGCTGCCAGCTGCACGATACCTGCTACGACAGCCTCCTGAGATACCACTGCAACGCCATGGTGCAGGGCTACGACTACGGCTGGCACGGCGGCGGGCCCCCTCTAAGTAGGACCCTGGCAAAGGGGGGTGTCATCCCCTCCCCTAGCTGGGGCTGACCCTGGGCTCCACTCTGCCCGCAGAAGGCAGCTGGTGGTGCGCCCGTCATTCCTGCGAGTGCGACCGCAGCCTGGCGCTTTGCCTGAAGCGAAGCCTCGGGACCTACAGCAAACGCTACCGCTTCTACTTCAAGCACTGGTGCCGGTGATGGAAGCCAGGATGCAGGGCTGGAGCACACGCCTGGGTTCTGCATCCGGATCTCTCTACGTCCCTGCCTGCACAGAGCACGTTAGTGCTGCTGTAAATTTGATCAATGTGAAAATAAACAATGTGCTTAAGCCATCCCGGTCCTCTGTGAGTTGCTGCTGGGCAGAGAGAGAAATCCCTGTAAATACTCAACATCATCGTCCCCAAACACACCCCAAACTTTGCAAAAACTCTGCCTCGGCCCCTGCGTCACTCCAGGCTGCAGCCCACGGGGAAAGGGGGGGGTTTGGCCGGCGAGGAAAGGGGCGTAGCAAAAAGCATTTTTGGGACAGACGAGTCATTTCAGCGCTTCCAGTTTGGAACCCAGGAGCAGCACTCTCCCTGGGAGGACGGGCTGGCAGCAAGGAAGTGGAGCCGGAGCGATCCCCCGGTGAGGACTCCCACGTTCGCCCCACTGCTGCGATGGGGCGGTCGCATTGCTGCCGCAGAAACAAAAATAGGGGGGTGGGGGGGATGTTGGGAGGAGGCAGTAGGCATGCTGCTTTCTGCTGTTTTCCATGCCTGTGGATAAAGTGTCATTGCTTTCAGGTAAAAACTCAGCCGGGAAGTTGCAGCCCTGGGGGGACAGCTGCTCTGCTGCTGCAAAGTGATGCCCTGGGTGCTAAAAGCGATGGGATGGGAGGTGGGAGATGCCCGGGTGGTGGGACAGCTTCAGGAAGCGTTTGCTTTTGGCCAAGAGGCAGCAACACGGATGCAAAGGGGCACGGCTGCCTGCCTTCCTCCCTCCAAATTTTGGGGCGATCTGACCTGATTTCAGAGGGATAAGGTTTGCAAGGCAGTCCCTGTCAGCTGGCCATGCTGCCTGGCTGAGTCTGTCCTCCATTTCTCCTCCCAGGCCCGGGTGAGAGGAAGATGAAGGTCCTACTGATGCTGGTGGTGCTGCTCGCCTGCAGTAAGCACAGCCATTCCTCTACCCATGGACGGGAGCCAGGCTGCAGCCCCGCGCTGATGCCGGGAGCATCCCCAAACCCCCATGCTCTCCCTGGGGACCCCCCCCAGCAAACCCCTCCTCTCCCCCCCCTGGTTCCCCAGGCATTGTTTCCGCATATAACTTGCAAAAATCACGTTTTCCGGTCGCTCTAGGTGTGTTCACAGCTCGCGGGAAGCACCCGCGCAAGTTCGCACCGGGACTCGAGGGAAGCACCGTAGGAAATCTGACTGCCCACGGCTGTTACTCGGCATGGGGCACCAGGGGCACACCGAAGGCTTCAATGGACCGGTACATGCAGTGCTGCCCGGGATGGCTAACACTGGCCCTGGGGTGGCTATTGCTGGCCCTGGGGTAACCCTGGGGCTCTTCCCACGCTGCTGGCAGAGCCTGTTTCAGGTAGGTTAGAAGCATCTGCCACCGTGTTTCAGATGGGTCCAGGCTCTCCTTCTCACTGCAGGTGCTGCCTGCTCCGTGCCTGCTGCTACGCCAAGCTGGCTGCACGGCGCTGCCCCGTGGGACTGATCCAGCCCCCCTCGGTGCCCCAGGCAGGAATCCCCACCTGCAGTGAGTCCCCGCCGTTGCGGTTTGGGATCTCTCTTTCCAGACCATCTCTGTCCTTTGTGGTGCCCTTTTTGGAGGCAGCTCCCTGGGGATGTTCCCAAAAAGGAGGTCTCAGGTGTGTTTTTTCTCCGGTCCCTGCAGGGTCCGGGACCTGGTGCCAGAGAGGTGCCTGCAGATGCGAGCGGGCAGCCCAGCTCTGCCGGATGCGCAGCCGGGGGCTGCTCCGGCGTCGCACCAAGTGCCGGGGACGAGCTGGGTGGTGTTGAAGCAAAAAGGCTCTTTGCAAAACCACCTCCAGGCTGATAAGCAAAGGGACGGCGCAGTGCCGGAAGCATTTCCCAGCCCTGGCAGGTCTCCTCGTCAGGGCTTTTTGGCTTCGACACGAGGACAACAACCCTCTCGTGAAGTTGCATCATTATACACTGGATCCGAGG